AACACCATCTCGTCTTTACACGACGCCTGGCAACCGGCCCATCTGCCGTAGGGTTGGTGGAACTGGAACAGCTTCAGAGGAACTGGCAGTGAAACGGAATGGTGCTCGGTTGGAAGGGTCCGTGGGGAACATTCGATGGGTGTTAATCGACGCCACGTGACCGGGGACGGCTCACCTCGCCCAGATCGGCCAGAAAGTAGTGGTCCATGCTGAAGAGGTACGGCGAATCGAGCATCTTCACGAAGGAGCCCGACCTCTTCGAGTCCTCGAGGGAGAATTTGGACAGTGGGAACATGGTACATTTGCCCAGCGCCAGATCAATGTTGTAGTAGATACCTGGTTTTAGGAAAACATGAAAAAATGATTAAGTGAAGTCTCAAAACTACCAGTAAATCAATACTACTCACCGCATGTTTGATATAAAACTCTACTACACTACTTACTTCTCATATATAAGTAGTTTCGATACTACCAGCAAATCAGTTATATTAAATGTTTTTGCTCAAAGAGACGAAGGACTGGTAGTAGCATTTTCCCACAATGATATGAGTAGAGCTGACTTTTCCATTCAATTTCACATTGACTTGCTTTCACAAAAGTTCGTCTCATCCCAGCTTTCGGCATATCACATTCTTTGGTGGGATTGCCGTTGAATCAACCCTATATTTGCTATAACCCTTAAATACACTACTTATTTCACGTATATAAGTAGTTTCGATATAACCAGCAAATCAGTAATATGAAATGCTTTCGCTTAAAGAGACAAAGGACTGATAGTTGCATTTTCCCATAATTATATGAGAAGAGCTGACATATCTACTCAAGTGGGAAAAGTTCGTCTCATCTCAGCCCGAGTGGACTGCAGTTTCGGCCTTGCCTCGTTTGGGTCTTATCAACAGCATCAACGGGAGTCGAACCGTGACAGTGTGAGCTCGTAAACTTGACGCGTTAACCACTTGGCCACATTTTGTAGTGAGTAGTATAAGATCACAAGCAGGTGTGAATTTTAAAGATGGCCAGACCTTTTTTCATATCACATTCTTTGGTGGGATTGCCGATGAACCAACTATATGGTTGCCATAACTGTCTAATATATTACTTATTTTTCATGAATAAGTAGTTTCCATACTATCAGTAAACCAGTTATATTAAATTTTTTTGCTCAAAGAGATGAAGGACTGGTAGTAGCATTTTCCCACAATGATATGAGTAGAGCTGACGTTCCCAGTCAAGTTCACATGACCCTGTTTTCCCAAAAGCGCACATGCTGCACCGTCACGGTTCGACTTCCGCTGGGGCTGTTGACAAAAGAGTTAAACGAGGCGAGGTCGAAAGTGTAGTCCACTCCGGCCGGGAAGCACCAGCTCTACTCATGTCATTGTGGGAAAATGCGGCTACAAGTCCTTCATCGCTTTAAACAAAAGAGTGTGAATGCATGTGAAATAGAAAAGAGAGAGGAGAAACCGTCTGATGTGGTCTAGGCAAAAGGTAGCCGTGGAAACTCGACTGAGAAATAGGAGCCTGATCATATACTCTGTCTTGATCCCGTGTAGGCTTGATCACTTGTAATGTTGCTTCTTTTCTATCTCAATCTCTATCGTTCACACCAACACCATCACACACACACACACACACATTGGTTATGTTTTTGGTTCTTTTGAATGAAAATCTTTTAAAAAGGCAGTCTTCAGTAAACCAGTTTTCTGTAACCACCCAAATCGTGCCGCTCGTTCACGATCACGAGAGAGCATTGTGTCGTCAACGCGAAGAACTTAACTTTGATGTAGAGACTTTAATTTCGAGTGGGAGGTCATGATGGCGGGATTCGCAGATTGATCTCACCGGAAGAGGTCGGTTGGTTCGCTCAGCACGCGACTGCACTACAACGCAAATCAGCCGACCTCTTCAGGTGGGATTGCAATGAAGGACTTCATTTGCAAGACTCTTCGAAACTAGAATTTGCTTGGTACAGTGGATTGACGAAGATTTGTCACGTCACCAAAGATGGATCTCTCTCTCTCCCTCACTCTCTCTCTCTCTATCTCTATCTTTCACTAGACAAGTCCGGCCAGTTCCACAGAGGCGGTGGCATTGGTACCCTCAGACCTTTGGATCCGGAACTCCAAAAATCGACATCTCTAAGGACCGAAAAGGCGAGGCCCACTTGAACATGCTCCGGCATGGACAGATCCCGACGCCAACGGTAGATCTTGAACTGTGCTCTTCATGAAGTGTATGAGATGGTAGACGAACGTTTCCACCGTGGCAGCGGACCTTCGACCTTGGTCTATCCCATCCAAGTTGAAGGGGACTGCTGCTTCGACTTTGACGGTATTAACTAAATTCATTTAAAGTAGTTGTCGATACCAATAAAAGTTTTTTAATAAGGACTACTCGAAACAGCATCCCTCTGAGTCGACGATGCAAAGTCCAACTGTACTTTCTCCGTTGCAGACAGGTCATAAAGGTTATTTAATATAAAATGATTGTCTCACAACCTACTCGTGTAGTATATAAGTAGCTTAGCCGATTTTGATGAAAAAGAACAGCCAAACTTTCTTTTTATATGCAGTTTTTATTCGCCCTATTTGACTTACTTTGCGGAAGGAGTATTCGTTGAATTGCATACCTTTTTGGGAAGCCACGTCATGTGAAATTGAATGTAAATTGCCTGCTCGTTTCATCCCAGCTTTCGGCATATCACATTCTTTGGTGGGATTGCCGTTGAATCAACCCTATATTTGCTATAACCCTTAAATACACTACTTATTTCTCGTATATAAGTAGTTTCGATATAACCAGCAAATCAGTAATATGAAATGCTTTCGCTTAAAGAGACGAAGGACTGATAGTTGCATTTTCCCATAACGATATGAGTAGATCTGACTTTTCCATTCAATTTCACATGGACTTGCTTTCACAAAAGTTCGTCTCATCCCAGCTTTCGGCATATCACATTCTTTGGTGGGGTTGCCGTTTGCATCACTTAAACGAACTGTGGTGGATACACCTAAAAACGATTGTTTGCTTTACCAACAATCCCACCACTAAACTGACGAGGGGCGGCATTTCGTGGCGATGTGGTCTCGTGGTGGTCACATGTGAAAATCACACCCCGCATTATCCGAGCCCGGTTTCCATTCCCATTTGACGTGTTAATGAGGCGCATTCTATTCATCCGATTGTTTGGGAAAACTCAATTATCCCTCCTCAACCGAACTGGACTGACCAAATTCTAATTGTTTACTAATTGTTTGGTTGCTGCACAACTCCCCTGCCTGCTTGCCGACGAGCGAGGTGGATGCGTACACACGCAGAGAACGAGGCCTGATCAAACTAGAGTGGGATTGGGGCCGAAGCGTCTTGTGTGCAGACACAACCGGTACCAGGCGTTCAAGTCATTCCAGATCAGGTTGCATTGCTTGATGTGTTGGTTGCCTGGTTGCATGTGTTGGCATCGCGACGCCAGTTAATGACACTTGATCCTGCCTCTCAACACGGATTCACACGCATACAGGACTTGCTTGAACTGGCCCCGTTGCCAGCCTCGGCGGGACTCGAGTCCGGGTTGTGGTAGTACAGCTGTCCGGTAGAAGCGTACACTGTGTGATTCATACACATGAAGAGAAAGCTGGCCCTTGCTGCTGCAACTTGTGTGTTTTGGTGTAGTCGCCGATGGGAGGCCGTTGTAAAGATGTTCGAAAGCCGAAAACAATCGCCAACGGACTCATCTTGGCCATCGTCTGTTGGCTCGACCGGACCATTCCGGTTGAAGCTGATCCCGAAACATACACTTTCGATGACGTTGAAAACGAGCATAGATTGTGGAGATAAGCCGGAATGCTCTCTTGACTTGGCGACTGAATGATGATGTGCAAAAATGGTACCCTGTTCTGTTGATGTCGACCGTATGAAGGAGGAAATCTTGACACTGTTCAGCGAAATCGAAGAAGATCGCCTCGGACACAGTGTGAACCGTTGACATGAAACGCAAGTGAACACAACAAACATGCAATCGACAGGAACACCTTCTAAGCTCAATCGCTCGTCTTGTCTATGAATCACACATTTTTGTGTTTTCACATACGTTTTGTGGCCAATTCGTGATCGTTTGCCGCACAGCCACAACCCGGGTTCGAGTCCCGCTAGGGGCATCGAGAGGTGAAACCCTGTGACTTGAGCGCCTATCAGAATGCAGCTCAAACCAGAAGGGAGTGACGATGTGTTGACAATACGAATGTGTACATGGTACAACGACAATCCGTTGAATAGAGTTTTTGCAAGACCCAATTGACAAAGAGAATGATTCTGTGCAGAGACGAACTTCAGCGCTTCACATTTGCTCTGGCCGGTCGAGTTGAACTTGCAAATGATGAGCTGAATGATCTGCATACTCTCACGACATACTGGCGCATAATTTAAGTAGTGTCTTGTATGTAAATGGAAAATGCATACTCAGCTTCCACATGATGCAATTTGACCATCACTCACTTTTCTGTTTCAGGTTTCAGATGTCTTCGACAAACGGGCCCTAATGGCGATTGGGAACTGTCGGAAAACTGGCCAACAGGGTCTGGTTTAGTAGCACTTGGCGTACTTTTCACTTCGTCCAAGAAGAGGAGTGGAAGCGATTGGTAGATTAGCCTCGTTGGAACATTCTTGTTGACGTTGTTGCCGAGGCGAGATCATGAGATTCCGGTGAAAACATGCCATAAAACTTGCCGGATCATCTCTTACTTGTGGAAATATAGCCCAAACCGAAGCCTCTTGATGAAGTGTGAAATGATTTTGAAATGTGTAAATGTGTCTGCAAAAATGGGGTCTTTGCACATGCAGGCGCATATACGCACAGAGAGAGACACTCACATGCTTCGCTAAATACACAAAAGTATTTGCGAAGAAATGTTGGATTTCGACAGATCTCACGGTTCAGAATTGTTGATCTCACTTTACATTTGGAGAGAAAGTGTTTTGTGAAGAGATCCCAAGGTCGATCCGACCAGAAGAGGACTGCGGATTCCTGTTGAATGACTTCAATGATGCTGTTTCCGAGGCAATCTTCTGAGATTGCGGAGAAAACATGCAAGACCTTCATCTTTCATACGACAGACATCATCGGATCATACGATACCATTCATATGAGTCATCTCTAAATTCTGGAAATGTACCTAGTGATGAAGTGTGAAATGACTTGAAATGTGTGAATG